GGGAGAGGAAGTTGTGTAGGGAAGTGACGAAGGAGGTTTCAGGCCGGCGGGAAGAGACGGCGGTGGGAAGTTCAGGGGAGGAAGGAGGAGAAGATGAGGAGGATGAGAAAAGGAAGAGCAGAAGGAGAAGAGAGATGGCGGCGATGAAGAATAGGAAGATTGGGGATCTGGATCTGTAGGAGAATTTACTGCCTGCCATTTTTTCTTCTTCCACCTCGAGCTCAGCGGCTTTCTTCTCCGTTTCCTTCCTCTGCCTGCTCTTCTCAGTTCTCACACCGTTCAGGAGAAGGAAGACGATGATGCGATGGATTGGGCTTCACTCATTCCTATGGAAAATGAGCTCTAAGGAGTAAGGACTAAGGTATTGAGTGGAGGTCAGGCCCATTTTACGCAGAGGAACTATCCTTACTGGTTAATGAATCACGCGCTTATCAAGGAGAAGGAAGACGATGATGCGATGGATTGGGCTTCACTCATTCCTATGGAAAATGAGCTCTAAGGAGTAAGGACTAAGGTATTGAGTGGAGGTCAGGCCCATTTTACGCAGAGGAACTATCCTTACTGGTTAATGAATCACGCGCTTATCAAGGTTTAGTGTCCAACTCTAGAAAACCTCGTCCGAAATTCGATTCGTCTTAATCGAACTGGCTCATGAATAAACTCGTTAACTAAATGAGCTGAACTCGAATCATATCATGTTCAGCTCGAAAGCTCGGGAACAAGTTCATTAAACGGTTTGGCATCAGAAAGGATTGGAATTCATGGACTTTAAGTATTGAAATTGGGATAAATTTGTGTTTTATTTTGCTAGACTTTGCTATAGGTTTTAATGTAATTTTGTGCTCATTTCTAGCTCAATCTTGAGCTATCATGAACATTTTATGAGTTGAACTCGATTTTTGGCTCGTTAAACTTATTTGACGAGCCGATCTCGGACTTTCATTTTCATAAACGAGCCGAACTCGAACTTGCATTTTCATAACTAAATGATTTGGCTCGCTAACTATGAAAAATTCAGCTCGGCTTGGCTCATTAATAGCCCTAGCTGCAACAACTGTTGACCAAAAGAGTCTCTCTTAAGCATACCATTTGTTTGCACGAAGACTGCTTAAGAACGTTGTGATGTCTCTCGTCGCCATAGAAACCTAAACCTAACTAAAATAACAAGGGTTCGAACCTAAAGAAGATATAAAAGGTAAGGGGTCGGGGAATTTTTCTCCCATTCATAGATCACAAAAATCCTGGGAATGTTTTCATTCTTTGTCCATTCTTTCTAGTATTTTCTATACCAAACAAATTAGGAATAGGGAATCACTATGAAGGGGAAGCTATAACGGTTGGAATAAATGAATCCATGGTTATGGAATTAGCTTCATTTCGGTCAGTAAAATTGATAAATTAGGCGAAGATGAAGATGCTGAAAGAGAGGGATTCAAACCCTCAGTAAATAAAAGCCTACATAGTAGTTCCAATGCTATGCCTTGAACCACTCGGCCACCTCTCCTACATATATTATCTACTCTTGGAAATGGACCTGCAAATATATGGTTCACGCAAACTAAAATAGTTGCAAGGAAAAATGGCCTGCACCTAGTATAAGTTTAAAACCCGAATCCTAAATAAAACATGGCATTATTCTCCACATAACAAATTAGTCGCTTACATCCTTCTCTGTATGGTGGCAAATCTGAAACATAAAATTCCATAAAGAAAGACCACAAGAAAAACATTGGCTTTATAAGAATAAGGAAGCTATAGATGTGACATTCACTCGAATTGAATAGTAATTTGATCTCATTTAATTTCCTTCAATATCTCATAGTTTTATTTACACAAATAGATAAATTATGGTATAGATGAAATATATACCTAATACCTGTTGAATTCACAAAATTTTAAGGTCTAGTTATTGAGCGCTTTCTCATGCAAAGACCTAAATATTGAGTGCTTGCTAATACAAATATTATGAGGATTGTATTACTCATGTAATAGCTATGTATCATGCATATAATAATATGGATGGTTGTATTTTATTTATGTGTCAAGAATAGGATCATGCACTTATTGCACTATTCTACTATTCAGTGAGAAGATAGAGTGCTAACACCTTCATTAAAAATAGGGATGGCAGTAGAACCTGAATCTGCCGGTACCCTACCCGACCCAACCCGGTCAATGCGAGTAAAACCCGCTTTGATGTATTGCAGGTCGGGTTTAAACTCACTATACTTTTTGCAGGTTGGGTTTGGGTTTAGCCATATCCAACCCGTGGATCCCCGCACCCATGTTCATACCCCCACGACCTACGGGACCCTTAACTAATTAACTATAATTTCTAAACTAATTTCTCACACGTTCAATTAATCATATTATTTGTGGATGTTTATCTTTAATATTGAACAAGTAGTATGAATGATTTGTGAGTTAGTGTGTATGTAGTAGACAATAGTAGTGAAAACTAGTGTAATTACATCTTTGTACATGAACCCATGGGTAACCATGAACCCGTGGATACCCAGCGTGTTGGGTTGGGTTGGGTTGGGTTTGAGTTTTTAAAATCCAGTGGGTTTTACCCTATGTTTTTTTGGTGGATAAACCCATGGGTTTTGGTTTGGCATAACCCGCCCCAAACGATCCATTGCCATCCCTAATTAAGAGTACTATAGTAATTACTCCCTCCTTTGCCTCTTTCTCTATGTTGACCCTCCTTTGCCTCTTTCTCTATGTTGACGTCATAAGGTTATATATACAACTTACCGTTTTGGTACTCTAACTTAATACATCTTTATATTTAGTGCCTATTTTTTAAATATATGTCCTAAAAATATTGATGAAAAATTACATTTTCGTACCTGCATTTTTTCTCCCTTATATTTTGGTACCTGAACTTTTAAAAGTTTACAAATAGGTCCACTGCTTAAGAAACTTCTGGGACACTTTAAGAAACTTGTGGCCTGGATTTTGTGGTTTGTGGGGAGAATGCTTCAAGAGATCTGATCATAAACACGTTGGATTGGCCTACCAACTCCAGGGGCGGATACATGCATGTCTAGGGGTGTCCCGGGACACCCCTAAAATTTGGAAACACGATTATTCAACCTTCGATAGTAGTTTGTATATGAGGGAAAAAAAATGTTTAAGTGGTAGTGGGACACCCTTAAAATTTGGAAAAACGATTATCCAACCTCCCATAGTAGTTTGCGTATTAGTACAAATAATATTTTAGTAGTAGTTTATGTGATTTAAACTTGAGACACTGTCACTATTAGTAAACATATTTTCAATTACACTACAACTCATTTGTTATTGTGTTTTAGATCCAAATATAATAGTAAAATGTTATTCTTATCCCAAATTATTTTTAAAACCTAACGATTAAACCCAATTACTGGATACCCTTTTCTAGTAGGATATGTCGAAAGATCATTATTGAGCAGTATAGACACCGAATGTATTTTACCATTTTACGAAACATGTCTGAACTTTTAATGTAACTTTTATTAGTTAGATATTTTTCATATTTAATAATTATTTTATTTAATTTTAATATTTAATTTAATTTTTGAAGAGGACACCCCTATGTAGAATTTCTGGATCCGCCACTGACCAACTCCATCACGTATTACAGACTAAGCTGATATGATTCTGTCACCGTTAATCTCATCTCATCATTTAATTTCGATACTGGTCAGTGGATGGGGGAAGGTTAGGCAGTAACAATCACCCCAGCTTGTAAAATGGAGGCGAATCAACCAATCATGGAAACCAACCAGCAAACTGGCAACGGCGTCGTACGTAACAAGACAAAGAGGAAACTAATTGATGTCTCTTTGCTTTATTTAGCTGCTGAGACTGATACTTTTGCTTGGCCGGCCATCCCAAACTACTGCCTTTAATTCCCCTCACCTTATCAGTTAGGTTTGTCTGATTAATTACAAGCTGTGGTTCGGTTACATAGTATTTAATTATCCGCTGTGAAAAAAAAAACCCCACATTCAAGAAAAAAAAGAATGTATCGGACGAATGAGATACAAATCAATTCTGTCACTGTTTAAAAAATTGAGGCTGTGATTACAGCAAGCTATTCCGAATTACAGAATAATAAAAGTAACATAGAAACTAATGTTCTCATAACCGGATTGGATGTTCAATGAAAAAATTTTTGGTTCAATAATTAACTATTATAAAATCGTTGGTTAACCGTTATTAGAATTGTTAATGTGCTATAATATAAGAGACATATATAAACACTAATTTAGAAATGAATTTATCACTAGACATGAAAAATTCCAAATCCACATCAACTATTACCAAAAAGTTTTAACAAACCATTTAAACTATGTGACAAAAGAAACCATACTCTTTTTATTTATTAAATTCAAGTCAATTATAATAAGAGTGGCAATTAAATAAATCCGACAAGAAAGCTGGGAAAATGAAAACAATAAAGCATAAATGAAATTACTGAAGTTAGATATATAGGTCTTAATTTACAATAAGATTTTTTTTTTCTTCTTAAATTCTTGTGGTTAAATAGTGAACTAGTGAACCGTTTAAATTAGGGTATAGTTCATCTAGATTCACACCAAACCTTTGGTATATATTCTAGTAACAAATAATTTTACCGCCCTGCATCACCTTTTCTAATACACTGGCTTGACTAGTAGTTGGGACTTGGGAGTTTGACCTTGGGATACCATACCATGCATCGATCCTTCATCACAGCCTTACGTAGTGGAATATAACCCAATTAAGGAGCACTACTAATTATGTAGGTTGGTGGCTCATTTTGGCTGGACAGACCAAAAAGCCATGCAATAATCCACTACCTGAATAAACCACAGGGCCATCATAATTAAACATTCCACCTCCCCAGTACCAACTAACTGCATCAATTTATTACGTTCATACGTACGTAGATTGATTCACCTTCAGAACTTTGCACTACTACTACTCTCCCTATAAATTCCCGCCTTTTTGGCCTACTGATAATGTAGTACACTACCACTCATGAGCTGAGTAACGAGCAAAAACAAAAACAAAAATATTTGTTTGTTCGATGGAGAAGCGAATATTGAAGTTGGCGGTGATGGTGTGTGGATTGGTTTTGACGTCGTCGATGGGGAGGGCGCAAAGCCGCAAGATGGAAGGAGAAGAGGCTGTCTCGGTCTCTACTACAAGTGTAGGGAGGTCCAACGTTGAACGTCCTCAGAGTTTCTTTGGTGGTAGTGGCGGCGGTGGGGGATTTGGCGGTGGGGGCGGGTTTTCGTTGGGTAAATTGCTGTGTGATCAGTTTTGTTCCGGGCCCGGCGGCGGCGGCGGTGGTGGTGGCGGAGGTGGAGGTACTGGTGGTGGAGGGGGAGGCTATGGAAGTGGAACTGGCGGTGGTACTGGTGGCGGAGGAGGTGGTACTGGTGGAGGAGGAGGCACTGGCGGCGGTACGGGCGGCGGTGGAGGAGGGACTGGTGGTGGTGGTGGATATGGACATGGAAAAGGCGGCGGCACCGGTGGTGGTGGAGGAACCGGCGGTGGCACCGGTAGTGGTGGGGGAGGAGGCACTGGTGGTGGTGGAGGTACCGGCGGCGGTGGAGGAGGAACTGGTGGCGGATATGGGCATGGAACCGGCGGTGGCACCGGCAGTGGTGGAGGAGGAGGCACCGGGGGATCACCTGGAGGTGGCGGCGGAAGTGGTTCAGGAGGAGGTGGCGGCGGCGGTGGAGGTGGTAGTACTGGAGGAGGTTACGGAGGCGGTAGTGGCGGATCTGGAGGAGGCAGCGTCGGCGGTAAAGGAAAAGGCGGAGGATACGGCGGAGGCAGTGGTGGGGGATCATCTCATGGTGGAAAAGGTGGTCACGGTGGTAAAGGCGGAGGTGGTGGAAAAGGCGGGGGAGGGGGCGGTGGTGGTGAAGGAGGAGGAGGAGGTGGTGGATATCCCGGCGGTTCTCCTGCACTCTGTCCTCCCACGGTTCCCGGAGGCGGTGAGGCGCCAAACCCTCCTGTCCCCGGTGGTGGTTACGGTGGCGGAGATGGTGGTTCCAAAGGCAGCGGCGGCAACGTTCATTGAGGCGGCGGAGATACTTTTAATTAATTTTTGCTTATATGTAATCAAGGGATCAGCGAAACTTGTGGTTGTGGTGCGTGCAACTTATTATCCGCCGATGATTATGTACTATAGCATTATCAATTAACCCTCTAAATAAAATCAATATATTAAACTATATGAATAATATTTTTGGGAGATTAGTATTCCATGGCCGAGTTATTATCGAAGGGACGACGACGAAGCATTAGCCGTGTAAAATTCTTTAATCAAGGCTACGAAATTAAACCTTAATCACGTCCATCCAAATGACCAATTAAGTGATTGTTAAGTAATAAGCCTACCAAGCCCACAATTGTATTAGCTTGTCTTGGGTTAGATGATTGGTTATAAGCCCATTATATGTATATGTTAGCCTGCCGAGAATCATCCCTAGGGTTCTCGTACATGTAGTCTATATATATGTATACTCTGTAACACAAAATCAAGCTGAATATAGAATTGTGTGCTTTGGCCATGTACTAGTTTAGTTCATACTGAACGAGGAAACCACGTGAATCCTGTCTTGTTTCGGTTATCTATTTCGTGTCGATTATCATGGTATCAGAGCTGATGGATTCGGATCGTGTTTCGGTTAAGCTCAAGTCAACGAACTTTGCTCTATGGAAGTTTCAGTTTCGTGTGCATGTGGAAGGGAAGGGTTTGTTCGGATTTCTTGATGGTAGCAAGGCATGTCATGTTGTTCCGCCCGCCATTGAACAGGAACTCGCTACCTGAATACAGAATGATGCAAGGGTAAAATCATGGATCTTAACCTCTGTTGAACCTACTATTGTGTTAGGGTTACGTGCTTTATCTACAGCTGGAGAGATGTGGAAGTCTCTCACGGATACTTATGCGACGACCAGTGCCGCCCGCCAGTTCGAACTCGAGGTTGAACTATATCCAATCTCACTCAAGGCGATCAGGACGTGACGACATATTATGGGGCTGCTCGGAAAATCTGGGCTGAGCAGGACCTCGTATCTACTTCGCTTCTTCCAGCCGGTGTTTCGGCAGGTGCGAAAACTGAACGTGATCGGCTCCGGCTACTTCACTTCTTGATGCGCCTCAATCCTGAGTTCGAACCTGTCCGTGCTACTCTTCTTATCCGGGAGAACTTGAAGATTGAAGGAAATCTTGGTGATTTGATACAGGAGGAGACCCGTCTTCGTACGCAAGCTCTTCTGGATGCTCGCCCAGGCGGCGGTAATAACTTGTCAACGTTCTCTGTTGCTGCTGCCAAGTAGACTGTCAATGATGTCAAAGGAGCTCCGTCTGATGGGGAAAGTTTTGATGATGCTGTGTTCGCTGCGCATAGGCCCCAGTTTCAGCGTCGGGTTATGTCTTCCGATGTTGAATGTTATCACTGCCGGGAGAAAGGTCACACGAAGAAGTACTGCCGCAAACGCAACTTCTGCGTGTATTGCAAGAAGTCCGGCCATATAGTTCCTGATTGCCGTTTGATACTGAGTCGTGCTGAAGGACGTGGTGAAGGGTCTGGTTTCTTGCAATCTCGTCCTCCCTTCGCCACAACTCCAGCCGGTGCTACTGCTGGGGTTCGGTCTCCGTTGAGGCTTTGGAGCAACTAGTTAATAAGGCCATCAATTCCGCCTTCTCAAGTCTTCAAGCATCGGGTAAATTTTCTCATTGGATTCTCCACTCCGCATGCTTTAATCATATGACTAGTCGTGCATCGGACATTGATAATATTAGTCCTATTAGACATATGAGTTTGCAAGTTGCTAATGGACAGCGGATGGGTGTTAATGGTATTGGTTCGGTGCATAGTTCAAAAATCTCTCTCCCTGCCACGTTACATGTACCTAGTTTAGTTCCAAACTTGGTGTCCGTTGGTCAACTCATTGAACATGATTGTCGTGTTGTTTTTGCTCCACATGGATGTTCTATTCAGGATATGAAGACAGGGAGGGAGATCGGGCGGGGTAGCAAGGTTGGTCGTGTTTTTCACTTGGACGAGCTTCAAGATTTTCCAGCTAATTCATATTCATCGTTGTCGGATATTTCCCCTTCCATTTCGGTGTCTAAGAGTGGTTCGTCTCACTCGGTGTCTAGGGTTTTGTCCTTTCCTGTTTTTTCGAGTATGGGTGAACAAAAATTTCATTTGTGGCATGCTCGTTTAGGTCACCCCAATTCTGTTCCCCTTGCGACAATGTTTAAACAAAAATTATTTGGTAATGATACTGTCGGATCACCTTTGAAAATTTAGTGTACTAGTTGTGTTGAAGCTAAAACGACCAAAATTTCTTTCCCTTCTAGTACCACCACTATTTCTGATCCGTTTCACTTGGTTCATACCGACTTATGGGGTCCTAGTCCTACCACGTCTTGTCATGGGTATAAGTACTTTGCCTTATTTGTTGATCATGCCACAAGATATACTTGGGTTTATTTCCTTCGACTAAAGTCTGATTTGCTTTCCGTTGCTACTAATTTCTCACTATGATCAAAACGCAGTTTGGAAAGACTGTTCGTGTCATTCGTTCTAATCCTGGTGGGGAATTTATTTCTACTCCTCTTCTTGAGTTATATAAGTCATTGGGAATTTTAACTCAGAAGTCTTGTCCAGGGGTGTCTCAACAAAATGATTTGGTTGAGCGTAAAAATCATCATGTCGTTGAAACTACTTGTGCTCTCTTATTAGCCTCTCGTGTCCCTTCTCGTTTCTGGCCTGAGACTGTTGCCACTGCTGCTCGTCTCATCAACTATCAGATCACCCCTATCTTAGGTCAGTCGAGTCCGTACTACTCCTTGTTTGGTGTCCAGACCCCTTATTCGCGTCTTAGAGTATTTGGTTGCGTTTGTTTTGATCTTCTATCTAGCCGGGAACGTGCTAAACTTACATCTAAGACAGTCCGTTGTGTTTTTCTAGGGTACAGTGATATTCACAAAGGATATCTCTGTTTTGACCCAGTGTCCCAACGTCTTCGTATTACCTGCAATGTCGTGTTCTTCGAAAATTTGATGTATTACCCGTCGTCCACACCTCAGTCACCTTTGTTTTCTACTGATCTTGATCTTCCCTCGTTCACCGACGACGATGATGTGGCTGGCCTAGCTCTTGATGATGACACGCAACCCCCGACTCCTCTCCTCCCTCCCCTAGAAGCTCTACTTCTTCAGGTTCGGATGTCAGCTCTTCTTCGTCGGCAGCAGATTCTCCACCGCCTTCTCCTCCGGCAGTTCCTCGTCGATCTCTTCGTCACAACCTTGGGCAGCCTCCTTCTCGGTTGCAGGATTATGTTACGTTTGATGTTGAGCCCATTTTTGTTCCGACCAGGTTTTCTCAAGCCCATGGGATTCCGGAATGGGACAAGGCGATGGATGATGAGGTTGACGCACTACATGCCAACCACACTTGGGATCTTGTACAGCGGACTGCTCCTTCTGTTCCTTTCATCGGGATTCGCTGGGTCTATACAATCAAAGTCAAACCAGATGGTATCTTGGAGCGCAATAAGGCTCGTGTTGTCGCCCAAGGGTTTGCTCAGGAATATGGAGTTGATTTTGACGAAAAATTTGCTCCTGTAGCAAAAATGGTTACTGTCCGGTCTCTGCTTGCTGTTGCTGCTCTCCGAGGGTGGCCGTTATTTCAACTTGACGTCAAGAATGCATTTTTGCATGGTGACTTGAAGGAGACTATGTATATGGAACGTCCTCCTGGATATCGGTTTTGGTACGGCAGATCAGGTCTGTTTGCTTCGTCGCTCTCTTTATGGATTAAAACAGGCACCTCGTACTTGGTTTGATAAGTTTCAGGAGACTGTTGTTGGTCTTGGGTTTCAGCAGAGCTTGAACGATCCTTCTCTCTTCACTTCGCATTCTTCTCGGGGTATCGTGGTTCTTCTGGTTTATGTGGATGACATGATTGTCTCCTGTGATGATATTGATGGTATTCAGGCTCTTACGAAGGGTTTGCATGCTTCCTTTAATCTTAAGGAACTTGGTGCCTTGTCTTATTTCCTTGCGCTGGAGATTCATCGGTCTCCGCGAGGTATCCTTCTTCACCAAAGTAAGTACTTGGATGATCTTCTTGATTCTGCACACATGGGTAAATGTTTAGCTGCTTCTACACCGATGGAATTAAACCTCTCAAACTGAGCAAGGAATCAGGCGATCCTTTGGAGGATGGGGGGAAGCAATATCGTACCATCGTGGGGAGTTTGATTTATTTGACTTCCACTCGTCCTGATATCTCATATGCTGTGCAGATAGTTAGCCAGTTTATGGCTGCACCACGTACGACTCATCTGGATGTTGTACGTCGTTTACTTCGATACCTACAAGGAACTCGCGGCGTTGGATTGTTTCTTCCATCCACTGGTACGTGTGATTTACAGGCTTTCTTAGACTCTGATTATGCTGGGTGTATAGATACTCGTAGGTCTACTACTGGGTGGTGTGTTCGGCTTAGAGGCTCATTCCTGTCTTGGCATTGTAAGAAGCAGGATAAAGTATCAAAATCTTCTACTGAA